AGTTGCTGTGGATTTGTTTCTCCAAAGTACCCAGACTAATACAGTGCTCAATTGTTAAATCTGTCCTTGAGATGTTCTCTGAATTCAGGTGGAGTTTACCCAAGGTCATAATTTGGTTCTTATGGAGTTGTTTTAATTTTCTTCTAATTCAAATTGTTCTTACGTATGAATAATTGATGGTCTGTTCCACAGTCAGCCCCGGCCTTCGTTTAGCTGATGATATGAAGCTTCTCCGTCGTCTTTTTACATAGATGTCAATTTGTTTCCTGTCTCTTTCATCTAATGAAGTCCACGTGTGTAGTCACTGTTGAAAAGGGTATTTCCAAGGAAGACATCATTGGTGTTGCACAACCCTATCATGCTATCTCCAGCGGTGTTTCTATCAAGGCCATATTCCGCAGCCACTGATTGTTCCTTCTGGTTTTCAACTTTTGCAATCCAATCACCAAAAATTATCGTACATCCTAATTGCGTGCTCAATTAATTTCAGACTGAAGAAGTTGGTAAAATCATTCTATTTATTCATTCAAAGCTCTAGTGCTTGGCGCATACATTTGAGTAACAGTTGGTCTGGACTTCCTTGTCATTGTTTATATATTATCCTGTGTCAGCATTGCTAAAGATTGTCCTCAAAGGTTCCTTTTGACAATGAACATGATGCTATTCATCTTGAAATTGCCATTGCTGACATAATAAACAAAGGATTGTTTGACTCACTTGGATTGGCCAAGACAAGTTCATATCTGCTTCCTGATCTAATGCCTATGCTACTGATCCTTCTGTAATCCACTTCACTTTTTAAATTATTATTAATTGGGAGTTAATACATATATCGTATCATTCCATAGTTTAATCATGTTGACCAGAATTGTACAATTGGTACCAAAATCAGTTCCCTAGCATTCTTTTCCTACCTGGACTCCTTGACATTGTCTCCCTTTTAGCCTCTCCCCCGCTCCACCCTTACCACACCAGCATCACTGTAACCACCACCACCCCCAAACCCTTATTCTACATGCTGTCCCTACAGGTTCATCAATCCTAGGTTTCATACACTGAAAAACAGAAAAACGTATAACACAACTTCAAGAGGGTGACCCCCAATGACATCACACCTCTGAGAAAAACCCTAATATGAACAAACCAAAAAAACAAAACAAGCAGAAAATGTTGAAACCTGCATCAGGCCCAGCATGCATCCGAGGGGGGATCAACTGACAACATCTTTTTAACTGTTCAAGGCAGGTCCACCCCTTTGGTCTTCTGTACTCCTCTCATTTTTGGCAGATTTCTCATTTTCCTAGATTGATCCTTCTCACATTCCATGTTCAGTTATGAACTGATATTTGTCGCTTTCTCTCCGCAGTTTAAGATGTGTCCCATCAGCAGATGAACATCCCCCAAATCGTACTCCATCCACATGACTGAGGTCGACTCTCCTTTGAAGAGGCTGTTCTTCCTCAGTCCTATTTTGAGTACCTTCCAACCTGAGCGGCACAATGCTCCTCAGCTAGGTATGAGGTTCACAGTGGTTCATCCATCAGAAATGGACAGCCTACCCCTTCTTCCCAACGTGTTCTTAATCTGGAAGCTCCACTGGACCATGCTCAATGTCTATGACCCTGCTACTATTTGATATACACCCAAGTGTCATAGCTTCCAACATCACAGCAACATAAGAGGCATACAACAAACTGAGAGGCGAGTGGTGGTAACATACAGCAGGGAGCCCCAATGTTTCCTTAGGACAACCACACACATGACCCAAAGAACTGCATTAAATAATTATACACACACACATGTATGTATGTATGTATGTATGTATATATACACATGCACTATGTATGTGTATGTATATATATATATACACATACATGCACTATTTGGTGAAAGATTGAAAGGGAGATCAAGAATATCCTGTTTAGATGCATCTAAAATGTAATGACAAAAATATACAGTTGTCTTAGCAGTATTTTTCACAATAGCCAACATGTTTAAACAACTCAAATGCCTACCAACTGATGAAGGATAAAATACGGTATATTCACACAATGAATATTATGGGCCCATAAAAAGAAATAAAGTGCCTATACATGCCACAACCTGTACAAACCTCGAAAACATTATGCGGTGTGAAAAAAGGCAGAACACTAGTTAGTCTGTTGCATGATCCACTTATATGACCAATCCGGGATAGGTAAGTCCACAGAAACCGAAAGTCAATGAGAGGTGTCTCCAGGCTGTGTGCGGAGGCGCTGTGGCGGGACCGCTCCGAGGGCACAGTTTCCCTTTGGGGCGATGAAGGTGTTGGCAACTAGCCACACGTGGTGGGTGCACAATACTCTGCTCCCACAGAGTGCTGTCGACCCCTACCCTTTCAAATGGGTAATGTGATATTACGTAAATATATTTAATAACCAAAATTTAATTATGCGCACCATTAATGTATTTATAAACACCACACAAGGGTTTTCCAAAAGTTCAGGGGAAAATTCCATTCCTTATAATCTTATAATTCCATATTTCCATGCACTTTTCATTTTATATATATACATATATATGTGTGTGTGCATATGTGTGTGCATACACACACACAAACATATTTAAAGAAAAAGCTAACTGTCATTGAGTTCATGCCAACTCACAGCTCCCTATAGGACAGGGTTGAACTACCCTGCGAGTGAGGAGATTGTAACTGTCTACGGGAATAGAAAGTTCGTTTTTCTCCTGAAGGAAGACTGGGGCTTTCAAACTGCCAATCACAGCCTAACATGTAACCACTAGGATATCTGTGTGTGTGTTTGTATACACATATAAATATACATATATGTGTATACCCTCCCCAAATAAAAACAAAGACAAAAAAACCAAATGAACAACCCCACTGTCATGGCTTTTATTCCAACACATAGCTTCCATATCTAGAGTTTTTGAGGCTATGAATCTTTACAAGGGCAAACAGCCTCATCTTTCTCCCAAGAAGTAGCTGGTGGCTTTGAACCATGAGCCTTGTAGCTAGCAGCCCCAATGCTTATTATCTTAATCTGAACCATATTGAAAATTACCATAGTCCTCTTCCTCTGCCCTACTAGGAATTCTAGGATGGGCCAACTCCTTTTGAGATGCAGAGCTATCGTGCAGTTCCCCATCTTTGTGAACAGATATGGCGCCCAGGACTCATCTTACCTGGTGACACAGTTCTTCCCACTGCCGGTACAGAAGCTCTATGCGTTCGTTGAGGATGGAGATGTCTTCGGGGCTGATGTAGGCAGACAGGGTGTCCTTCAGCAGTGTCAGCTGGGACAAGTCTTCTTTCCAGCTCCCAACCACATTCTCTAGTTCCTGGATTGGAAAGGAAAAGAAAAGAAAAAGCGTCACTACTCAGGGACATCAATCTTGAACGATTTCTGAAGTGTACCTGGAACACCTCTTCCTTTCTAGTCCGCTCTGGGTGACATCAAACTTGGCATCTTCTTGCGTGTCTGCCTACATAACTTGGAAGTTAGTCCACTTTCTCTGGTACACTAGCAGGTTGCTTGCCTGCATGCACTCCAGGTATGTTTTTCCCCCATGGCGTTTCTGAGGTGAACGCTTCATTCTGCACGGATCTTAATAAACCTGTTCTTTCTTCTTGTCCTCAGATCCATGGCCATGCTAATGAAATATCTTTAGAAACAGACGTCTAGATTTGGCATTCATCTTTCATGATCTGCCACAATCTGTGAAGCGTAGTGATAATACAATCGCTGAGAGGGTCTGATGTTGTTATCACTCAAGATAAAATCACAAATTAGTGAACATTTTCAGTCGAAGCTGGTATTTGTTTAAATTACTGGAAAAGGGGTGTGGGTGGGTGGGTGGGTGTCCCCCTGTCCTAGAGTCCATTCTGACTCACAGTGACCCTACAGGACAGAGTAGAACTGCCCCTGGAGGTTTCTGGGACTAAATCTCTTTGGGAGTAGAAAGCCTTGTTTTCCAACTGCTATGTATATAATGTATTTATTTATGTAATTTTATATAAATGTATACAGTATGTAATGTTACATATTTCCTGTCCTTTCTGGTTATGATTTAAGGGGGGAAATCCCTATTAAAACATTTGAACAAGTTGATATCTCTGGTGCTATGCTTTTGACATGCACATGACCAAGTTTTGCAATTGGTCTAACTCTTCCTCGCTGACAGCTGTCAGTGTTTTTAGCTTCTAGCTCATTTCATATATGAATAGAGTATTTCACGTGGCTTTTTCTCTCTTCACACAGAGGACAAGTTTCCAAAGGCAAAGTTAATTAGCAGTTCTGTCTGAGGCTACCTTCGCAGGCAATTTAGACAAACGAGGTTTTAGCCTGAGTTTTCCAGGTAATTGCTTTGTTTTGCTGCTGAGGGTGGTTTGAGGCTGAGTAGCTGGGAGCTAGGCAGAAATGCTTCTTTTTAATCTGCAAGCCCAATAGCAGGGCGTGCTTGCCACTGCCATCTATTTAGGGACGTGAGGTCCCATGGTAACAGTATGTGGCTAGAAGACCAAACTACCTGGGTGAATGATAGTGCACAAGTTCTTTTTATATTCTTAGGCATATTAAATGGTGCCATACCAATGTAACGATTGGCCTGCTTTTTCACCAATGTCTAGCGTGCCCCCCAACCCCACCCCAGAACAAACATCAGATTTGGCACACAGACTGAAAAAGAAACCATTAATCCTACCAGAAACAAACAGCTTCAGATGCTTAGTATAACTGTGGAATTCAGGCATCCCTGATATTTACTACTTGGACAAGCTCTTATGTTTCTAGAGGTTTCTATTGAGAAATACTGCTCACCACAATGTTGTAGCTAAAACACCAGAAAATTGGGCAAAATCCTGAACATGCTAGAAGATTCAAGGAGTAAATTAGCACAGAGTTTTAGCCTTGTATATATATCTATATAGA